AAGGCCCTGGAGTAGGAGGAAGTATATAGGGTGAGCAAGGAAGTGGGAGCATGGGAGTGCCTGCCAGTGGGGGAAGAAGTAGACCATACAATGGAAGTGGTGGAGAACTGGGTGGCCTGGGAGGGAGCCAAGGCAGCAAAAGACCTAAAGGTGGTGATCCCAGCAGCGTCAGGCCAATGGGGGGATGTGGGCAGTGATGAGCAGCGGCAGCAGCAGGGCGGCAGAAAGACAAAGGGAGCTGTAGATGTAGAGCAGGGAAGAAGGGGGAGCAGGGAAAAAGGATACACAAAATGTAGAGCGAGGAACTGGGGCTGGAGAGAGAAAGAAGGTAGCAGAACGTGGACCACCAGAACCACACGGTAGGGGTGAAGAGCGACCGTCCTCAGTCGGGAAGTCCTGTGACTCAGGCCCGAGCAGATCGAGCACGAGCACAGGAGGGGGAACTGAATTAGAGGCCTTAGCAGGAAGGGCGAAAGGGAGACGGTAAGGCACAGGTTTTCGACATCTGTCACATAATAAATTATAGTGTAATACATCTCTGTTATGAGCTGGTAAGGTGTAAGAAAGCTATTTTAATGATTGTAGAAGTTGGGTTGGGGTTGGGTCCTTGGGTAGTGGCGCAAGGGTGTTGGCAAAAGGGAGCTGCGGGGCGCGAGGAGGAAAATCTCAAGTAGAATGGACTGCCACAAGCTGCGCTGGCAGCAGATGAACTCGCGTCAAGAATTTTTGCCGCCATGGAGGGTGCGCTTACTGGAACGTAGGAGGTCGCGGAAGCATTTGCCACGGAGGGCGACGTACCGTGCAGATTCCTAGACGCCCGTCACTGGGCGAGTTTAAGGCGTCGGGCCTGATCCGTATGCCAGATCGGAACCCTCGAGCAGTGACTTGTTTGCTGACAAGGCCACGACCCTCCTGTGTCAAGAGTCTTGACTGGAGAGTAGCGTGAAGCACATCGACGTGGGGTACTTTCTATTTCAAGAGCTACAGCGATGCGGTCAGGCACTCTTGAACTTTGTGGCCTTAGCGGCCAACACTGCAGACATCTTCACCAAATGCTCTTCCGTCTGGTGACCACCACATAATCTGTCTGCAGCTAGGCCTTGTTAAGCAGGCCCTCAATGTTTGTAGTCTTGCCTCTTATTTCTTGCTTTACTTGTCACTATATCTATAAATTTACATGTTTGTGAACTTTTTAATTGGGCTTGTGGCCTCTTGCTTGTGCTCAGACTGTGTGATGACTTCGTGATCCACCCTGATCTTTGTGTTGTTGTTTCTCTTAACTGGTCTTGTAACCATTTGTGTTTCTAGTTCTTTTCTGTTGTCTCTCACTTAGCGTAACTATATAGTTGCATTGTAGGCTATAGTAAGGTACATGGTATTTGTATCAAAACACTTACTAGTCAATTCATTTCGCTGTCCTAACTTTGAAAACAACGATCATCATTGTCAGAAAGTTTACGTGTTGCCAACTGTTTAGTGGTTGCGAAATGCAGTCCGGCATAATGCGAAATTAACATTCCTCAACATCTAACTCATATGTTATCTACCTACTGTATGCTGCTTTAACGGATGTCGCTGCTATGCTGTTTGTTGCTGCTGGGGTTTGCTGCTGCTGCTGTTGTTGCTTCCTCTATGTGTTGGCTGCTACAATTTCTACCATTGTTGTCGGAAACCTGTCTCCCTTCCTCCCTTCGTGCTGGTGCCTCTCATTCAAATCCTCCTCCTTCTAATATTTTTTCCTACTTCTGCTTTTTATTTACATCCGCGCCTCCGCGGCGCCTCACACTATTTCCACGCATTTCGTCAGCCGAACCATCTGCATCCACATTCCCCCGGCGCCTCGCGCCATTTCCACGCATCTCGTCCATCGAGCGATTTGCTCCCATCGTCCTTCCGCGCTATTCGCGTTCTTCTCCGTAGCACCTTGCGCCGCTCTCGGGCGTCTCTTCTGGCGGGTAATCCACCTCTGCACTTCCGCATCGCCTCGCGCCTCCCTGGCGCATGTCGTCCGGCGAGCAATCTGCCACCGTATTCCCGCGAATCAGACACCTCCGAGCATCCCTTCCGGCAAATCATTCGCTCCTTCGTCAGACTCCTTACGCTCTTCTTCGCGCTGGCTTCGCAGATCTTCAACATTCGTGCCTTCAACTTGTGTTCCGCCACCCCACGCGTCGGGGTATCTTCATCTCCCTTCTCGGCGTAGGCCTCTCTTGCCGACTTCAGCGAGTTCAGCTCGACGTCATCGTCGCGACGCCCTTCATCTGTTCCGCGCGAGCCTCCTGCCATGTAGAGCTCGGCCGCTCACCATTGTAAGTGAGCAAGAAGGTCAACTAGCAAAGCTCTTGCGCAGCCATGGCACCGGCGTAGATCTCGTCCTAGGTGCTAGACTGCGCCAGATGACGACCGAGTAGATCTCCACGACGCAGCACTAGAGCCCAAGTTGAAGTAGTACCACTGAGTAGATGTGCATGTCTCCACGTCGTCGGTGAAGGAAGAGTCCGAATGACCGGTTAGCACAACTGGCGGTGTCCCCCCAAGCACAAGCCCCATGCCTGAATTGTCGCTGGATACTTAGCTACCCTGACAGCTGTCGCCCAGTGAATAGGACAGAATCTTCCAGTCGCAACAAAGCGAGCTAGGATGCCAAGAGGAAAAGCAAGGTTTGGACAAGTACATGTCATGAGCCTATCCACTAGCTCCGCGTAAGGACCACTAGACTCAAATAGCTCGTCAGGAACAGGAGCGGTGAGCCTGTGATCAACGACAAGAGGAGTGGGTTGTATGGTAGATAACTAAAACCCGAACCGCTAAAGGACCTGTTGAACCATGTGTGAGTGAGTCAGTGTGATGGTGCGAGCGGCTCTGTCCCTGGTGATCTGCAAGCCAAGGTAGCTGCGCAGTTCACCAAGGTGAGTGCACGTGTGTCTCTTCAGCAGCTCAGACTTCATCTCAGCCAGAGCAACACAAGTTGTCGACATAAACGAGGACAAAGAAAGGAGAGGGCCCAGAACGAACAAACAACGACGGTTTGGTGGTAGAAGGTCTGAAACCAAGGTCAGCAAGTGTGGAGTGAAGAGTGTCGTGCCATTCACGAGGTGCCTGGCAGAGACCATAGGCTGGTCTAGACTGGTCGTCTAAGGCTCCACTGGGTCACAGGCGGGAAAGGGCTAGTGAAGCTAGGAGGACACTGCAACAAGATCTCCTTGTGGAGGCGGCCCTGGAGAAAGGTAGTGCAGAAGTCTAATGAGTGCAAATCACAGTCTCGCTATGCTACACTATGAAATAACACCCGAAGAGTAGTCACCTTTAGGGTTGAGGCGAAGGTCTGGAGGAAAGTCAATTCCCTCACACTGATTAAAGTATTTAGCCACATAGCATTTCCCCAAGAGGGGGAACTGCATCGACATAAGTGCCTATAAGTCTCCAAGATACCATCTCTGAGTCCATGGTTGCTATCCACTGAGAGGCCCACTGCCCTGACACTGCCTCACGGCACGTGCGAGGAGTTGGTCTGTCAAGGGCGTCGGGGTCTCCCTCAGGGGCTAGCAGCATGGCACAGAGAAGCGGCTGCCAAGAACTCCAGCTCAAACTGTTTGTCCTTCAGGACGTCACAGCCAAGGGCATACTGAATGTGAGTATACCATTCTCTTATCTAAATGTGAATCGCGAGGGCATATTTAATGAGCTTTTCTATCGGGAGGAACGCGTCACCCCTTGAAATGTTTTCGTACAATGTTGGGGGGATACTTTCGATCGATCCAGGCCGACGAGGAGCTTGCCAGCGAGTCAGCATGATGTGGCTCACAATTTGCGCACAGTTCAAACCATTCTCAGCTCGACTCGATAAGCAAAGTAATTGAGTACAACAAACTTGTTTTTTTTCATATTAAAATGTGTCATTATATAACACCCATGGGTGTAGGCTCACACCCATTACCCCTCTCCCCCCCCTCCCCCCCCAAAAAATTGAACCCATTTAAAGGGGGGTATTTATCAATACACCCTAGGGTGTATTATGCGGTGGATTGCAGTATTTTACTTAGCCAAGTTTGTGATTGGTTGCAGCTTGTGGACCCTCCTGCAGCAATCTGATTTTACTCTAAAAGACCTTGGTGATTTTTAATGATGTAGTCTCATTGCCAAGGAGAAACAACTACATGGCGATAGTTGATACTCCCATACCCAGTTCCTTTTGGGAGTATGTAATTCTTCCACAATTTCTCCCCTGTCACCCCTCTTGACAGTGCTTTACAAGCAAATACACATAGCAGAATGAGGAGCTGACTAATTGTTATTTCAAACTATAGTAAGGCTTCTCACTCTGCCCATTCACTATCAGATTGAAGGTTGAGGTCAGATAATTCCCCTCCATGGTAGCTCCCACCAGCGCAGCCTTAAAGTTCTGCAGTCCAAGGACCTTGGGCTTGGTAGCAGTTTCAGCGGGGATATTTATGTTAATAACCTTAGAGCAGGTGAACACCCCGGGAATTGGCAATGATAACGGGTCCATAAGTTTCGTTGTGAGGGGGCATGCGACTGGGAGGGGGTCTGACGTGTCGGCACCGACCTGACCCACCAGGGAGACAGCTGTGCTGGTGGTGACGCCCCTGGTGAACACCAGATGGACTTCTAGAGTGAACTTGGTGTCGCTGCATGCCAGGGAGCAGAGGGGTGGGGGATCGGAGAAACGACTACATGGCGACAGTTGATACTCCCATACCCAGTTCCTTTTGGGAGTATGTAATTCTTCCACAATTTCTCCCCTGTCACCCTCTTGACAGTGTTTTACAAGCAAATACACATAGCAAAATGAGGAGCTGACTGATTGTTATTACAAACTATAGTAAGGCTTCTCACTCTGCCCATTCACTATCAGATTGAAGGTTGAGGCCAGATAATTCCCCTCCATGGTAGCTCCCACCAGCGCAGCCTTAAAGTTCTGCAGTCCCAGGACCTTGGGCTTGGTAGCAGTTTCAGCGGGGATATTTGTGTCAATAACCCTAGAGCAGGTGAACACCCTGGGAATTGGCAATGATAACGGGTCCATGAGTTTCGTTGTGAGGGGGCATGCGACTGGGAGGGGGTCTGACGTGTCGGCACCGACCTGACCCACCAGGGAGACAGCTATGCTGGTGGTGACGCCCCTGGTGAACACCAGATGGACTTCCAGAGTGAACTTGGTGTCGCTGCATGCCAGGGAGCAGAGGGGTGGGGGATCGGAGAACGTGTAAGGCAGAGCAGAGGAGGGGAGTGGAAGAGTGCAAGCCGTGTTGAGTGTGACGCCTCTGATGAACACCAGGAGGACCTCCACGGTGACCTTGCTGTCGCTTCAAGGTGGGGGAGCGGTGAGGTGGGGGAGCGGTGAGGTGGGGGAGCGGTGAGGTGGGGGAGCGGAGAGGTGGGGGAGTGGTGAGGTGGGGGAGCGGTGAGGTGGGGGAGCGGTGGGGGAGCGGTGGGGTGGGGGAGCGGTGGGGTGGGGGAGCGGTGAGGTGGGGGAGCGGTGAGGTGGGGGAGCAGTGGGGTGGGGCAGCAGAGGGGTGGGGCAGCAGAGGGTGGGGCAGCAGACGGGGTGGGGCAGAAGAGAATGCAGAAGACAGAGTGGAGCAGGGGAGAGTGGCGCCTGTGGTGAAGACCACGTGGACGTCTAGGTTGAGCTTGTTGTGTTGTGTGAGGTTTGACATGTGGCGATGGAAGGGGTGAAGATTTGCCACAAGGATGCCTTTTTGGAATTGTTTCAGCTTTCCCTCCAATCTGCCCCACCAGCCTTAGTAGGTGCTCAGCTGAACTCAAAAAAAGGCTGCACCAAAATGATGGACTCACTTGCTCGTGGTGACCCGGATCTGAGCTCCCCCTGCCACGGCGCCCGAGAACATGGCTTGGAACCGACCGTCTGCCATGGTTGGCAACAGTGCTTGGTCTGACACTGGCAGGGGTGCAATGGTTGGGTGCGATGGGAGGGGTTCAATGGGTGAGATGCGATGGGAAGGGATGCAATGGGGTGACACATTCTTTGGAAGAGAAGCAGTCGGGGGTAATCGGAGTGTGGGGGGGCCGAGGAGGTGGGAAGGAGAAGGGGGACTGAAACGGCTTTTGATCAGCTGCCGGGAGGAATGGAGGAATGAAAACGAAGAATACACCGAGAATTATTGGTCAAGAATTGCATGTGGTGTCACGTGGAAGAGAGGACGTACGTTGTCACTGATATTTGCATGAGCATGACGCCCTGTGATTGGCTCGACGTCAGCTGAGCCATGGCGGTAACTGCAAACGGTCGAAGGGGAGTGGGAGACTTCCAGAATTTCGGGTTTTCACATTCGAGTTTCCAGAATGGACTCTGAGGTTTTAGTGGTTCTAGAAATGCAAGTTACAACATGAAAAAATAACGAGCATACGAGTCCCACATCGCGGAAAAGGGAACTGCAAAAAGCAACTGAAATTTTACTACCTCGTCACTTTAGGGTTGCGTTTTTCTCGCGAGAAAAAAGTCAAGGTTCAAAATTGTGGGAGCTAAAGTGACTTATAAAGCAAATTTTCCGTCACTTAACCCAGTATGACGCAACTAACCCAGTATATAGTCAATGACGCGGCCTTTTTTTTAAGGGCGTTGTTCAGTTGCCCCATTCGAGCTGATGCGTGCATCACGCGACTTCTCGGTATTGCATGATGCGCGCATCAATGATGCGCCAGATTGCTAGGACGAGAAATTACTCGGAGCGCGCGACATGTTAAATTTCGGGGGCCAAACAGGCTGTTCTGCCGGCATTCGGCCTCGGTTTGACTGGGGAGCCATACGTTTATCGCGAGCCTTCATAACATGTTGATCAAGTAAGTAACCAGGAACCCTGTTTTACTGTAGCCATCCGGGCTGATGCACCTGCAGACCGCATCCATTGGGTGTCCGAAGCGCTTGGTTTGGGCCCTGTTTTTATGCAGTTCCCTTGGTCTTGAACGCGTTATATGTCACTTCGATTATCCTCAGTTTTGCCCGCCTCTGTTGGGAAGTAATAAAAATGGCATAATACAACGTGCGAAACGGCCATCCTGTGTTACCACCTTATTTTTACGAGATCCAGAGCAAGTCGTCAAACTTCGTGGAGCAATTCAGATCCCAAAAGTTGGCAGTTGAGCTGCCAGCATGGCATTTTGAACTAATCCGACCATTGTTCTTCCATTAAGATGGAGTGTGATGGCCCTGTCGGATGAAAGACGAAACTATTGGTGACTTGCTTTCTCTCGGACGGAATCATATGAGTTCATCGGTGGGGTATGATGTCCTGCGCGTTTCACTTTAAAGCTGCGGTCTCCATACTTGGAGTATTCTGCTGTGGGTGAAGTGGCATGCAGTATTCTGGTGTGCTGCCTGGAGCTAGCGGGATTCGCAGCCTAGATCAGTATGGCGTAGATGAGCGGTTATGCTCATCAGGGCATACGTTTTCTATTCCGCTCTGCTTGGTTGTTTGTGTTGGGCGCAGGGTCTTGCACATTTCTGCAGATTACTTTTCCAAAGCAAACCAGCTCACGAAATTGTTTGTCATCGCCATCGGTGTTTGAAATCCTCGCACAGGTGCTGGGGGAAGAAGCTCAATTCGCTCTCGAATCAACTTGCGCCAAAGGGTGTGCACTTAGATTGCCCTTATAAAATCCCTTTTAGAATGTATACTGCAGCTTTAATCTCTACGTTCCGAAAAGGTTTAAGTCAACAACGAGCTGACCACCATCCAATCAAGCGACTGTAGCTCCTGTCATTCACGAGCTCCAATAGGAGTATCCTAGCAGCTAAACTGCATACGTTTTCTATCCAGGGTTCCTTGAGTAGGTTCGTCGGAACGCGTACGATTGTTGTGGAACGCGAACACACAAATTCTTGCTGGAAAATTGGGCCAATGGTTGACGACCCACACACGAGACTTGCGACGACGGCCTGTCGCCGCGCTTTCTTCACATAAGCAGGTCACTGCGGCTCGGTCCCTTCCACCCCCGGAGGTAAGGCTTGCATTGTCGAGCCGTTTGTTACGAGCGTCATCGCCACAATGTTCTCGCATTGTCAGCCCTTTCTTCGCATCTTCTCAGCTCTTCTTTCTTTTTTACGCCGCAAGCCGCTAGTATCTGCGATTTCCATTGGTAGTTCTTTATAGGGTTCATAAAGACGCCATCAGACTCCAGCAATGGCTCTCCCCCATCTTCTGACGTGCCTCCTCATCGTTGCCGGTGCGGTTTATCATGAGCCCATGCGCCTCCTTCCTCAGTCGCTGAACACACACAATCATTTTCAATCTGCCAACTCGACCGCGATTGTACACATATATTGTAGACTACGTGACACGTCACCCTAGTAAGGTCGTTCTAGTGGCCCTCTTTCTCCTTCCTCTCTTCCCCGGCGCCTGCAGGCGTGCTGGTCTTGTCGGCACTTCCTGGAGCAGAGGCGGCGCTAAGCTTCGAGGCCGCCAAGCACCGCACCGTGAAACAGGGCCATACGTTTCTAAAGTTCCTCCAGTCGCTGCTCTTTCCGCCGCCGATGCCTGTCGCCAGTCAGTGCCTCCTTGCCTCCCTTCCCTAACTCCCGACATTCAAGTAGTAACGAGGTGACTCCTAGGTCAGCTCACCAGTCACCTGAAATGCCGCCAGTCAATGCCTGCCTAATTTCCCTGATGCGCTCCTTTGCGCTGCTCGCTCAACGTGAAAGCGCTTACCCAAATGCTCGGATCTACATCCCGTCTAGCGTTTCACATGGTTGTTTCCCATCCGTCCCTTCGTTCATCACCCATTCTCTCCACTGTTTCTCCCTCTCGTGTCGCCCCCGCCAATGCAGTTTTTTACATCGTGGCATTTGTGGATACGAACGTGAAGGGGACGTTCAACATCGCAGTCCCAACCGAGTAAGGCATCCGCAGTTGCGTCTGGCAAATAAGGAGTTAAGCTCTGAATTACGATAGGCGTTTTGCAATGTGATTGCTCAAGGTTTGCGTGTGTTTGGGGGGGACAAGCCACCAAGGATGAAAAATACGGAAGTCGTATTATACGGTCCGTTTAATACGGTCGTATTTTACAGCCACTTTTGGTAAAATACGGCGTATTTTTTATGGAGTTTTTTTTTTTTTTTTTTTTCTTTTCCTCTTCCAATCCTGAAACGATTTCTTCCAAGTTCTGGAGGGTGCGCATACGCCTAATAAATAAAAGAGATCAGCTACCAACCACTACTATTATTACACAACATCCCCTCCCCTCTAGTCTACTACTACTCCCCTCCCCTCTATTACTACTTCTACTAAGTCAGTCACTACTATTCTATTCCTCACCCCCTACGCCTCTCTCCCTCCCCTACATCATCGAGCTCTACTCATCATCCTCCTCCTCCTCGTCATCCTCCTCCTCCGCTTCCTCCCTGCTCGAGCTATCACTAATATCCCACGGATCCGAGCCCGGGCGAGTCCTTGTGGTGGGAACATGTTCCTCCTCATCGCCACTGCTGTCCGCCGCCTCCTCCTCCTCATCCTCGCGCGCAGCCGCTGCTTTCCCCTTACCTCTGCAAGGCTTGGTCGCCTTGCCCTTCCTCTTCCTTTTGGAGCTCTCACCCACCTTTTTCTTCTTCTTCCCAATCTGCCCAAATTGCTCCCAGTCGATGGTGCATCCCACATTCACCTCTCCCTCCTCATCATCCCCCTCTTCCTGCACCTCTGCCTCTGCCGGAGCGACGACACTCCCTTCCTTGAGGGTGTCGTTGCTTATATCGGTGTAGAGCTTCTCCCTCACCTTCTGCTTCCTGTCAAAGGTGTCCCGAGCCCTCCTCGTGAACACGACATAAGTCACGTCTGTCATCTTCTTGGCGGAGATGTGGTTACGATCACGCCTTTGCACATGCGCAATCGCGGACCAGTAACGCTCCACCTCGGATGACGTTACCGGCTGTGACAGCACCATCACTGCAAGCCCCTGCAGCGCCTCCGCCTCCCCCCCCGTACATCCACCACCATTCCGCATCCGTCAAGCGCCCCCCCGCTACAAAAACCGTTGCAGCCAACCGTGCGTCATGGGACCCCAACCGCCCCTCGCCCTTGTGGAACTGGGCCAACTGCGTCTGGAGCAGGGTGCGCTGGGCAACATCCTTCTCCCGTGCTGCTATGAACGCCTCCGCCCCACTCCTCACCTCCTTGTCGTTCCGCACTTCCCCCATGTACTGATTGCGGGGGTTGATGAGCCACCCGAGAGCGTGCAGTGGGTTATGCAGTTGACCGTCCCACCTCTTAGCTAGGATAGCCTTGATTTCCACCTGGAATGATGGCTTGTCCTTTGCCATCAGCAGGGATGTGCGCTTGACAAGCATGGCGGCTGCCAATGAGATGTACAAACATGTGGAAGGGCGGTAAGTATGGGCAGGAATGGGGTATGCATGCAATCACGCTCATGCCATTCGTGCAAGCAAAGGTATGTCTTACCTCCAGCCTCGGCCGCCTTGTTGGTCTTCACCGTGGCCTCTGGAATGAGGCCATACACTTGCCCCATGACTAGAGCCTGTGTGTCGACGACCCGAAGGACGTCATACATGGGCTGCATGATGCGGAGCACCGCTGTTGCGCAATCCCAAAACGCCTCATCCAAGAGGAGGGATCTGACCGCCTTCCCCTCATCTTGCTTCGCCACTGCAATCTCCTCCCACTCCTCACTTATGACCATCTGCCGCAGCGCCTTCTTTACTTCAAAGAATCGGGCAAGCATGATGGCGTTTGTGCCAAACCGAGTTGCACCAGGCCGCACCAAGGCAAGCTCACTAAAGACCTCATGGAAGAGAGTGACGGCAGAGGCGCTTGCCTTCACCATCATGACCACGCGGTGCACCTGACTTAGAACCCGCTTCACCTCACGAATCTTCCCGAAGTCGTGAAGTATGAGATCAAGAACATGCACGGCACAGTTGTTGAAGAAGATGGATGGGTATTCGGGGCGCAAAATGTCCGCCGCCCTCCGGTTATTAACCGCGTTGTCCATGACAACCAGGACGACGGCCTTGTCCCCCACCTTGCTAATGGAATTGCGGAGGAGCTTTGCAAGATACCCGCCGGTCTTCTTTGTCGTTTTCGAGTCCACCGTTTCAACAATCACCGGTGCCATGTCGTTGAGGGCAATAATGCAGACAAGCCCTCGGCCCTTCAAGCAAGTCCATCCGTCGCACGTCAGGCTGCAGCCGCGCTTGCCCCAGCTATCCCTCATCGGCTTCTCAAGCTCCTCGGTATTCGCCCGCAACTTCAGTGGCAGCGGACCTCCAACCTTGTAAGGGGAAGGGAGCGTGTATGGCTTCGCGAAGGCGAGCGCCGCATCGACGAATGCCTGCACCGCTGTCGACTTCGAACACTGGAACGCCCAGTCGTTCTCCGCAACTGCCGCTGCCCAGAGGTAGTCCAAACGTGAGCGAGCAGCCGTATCCACCATGTCGCGGATGTCACGCTGCCTAGCGCGACGAGGGGGCAGGTTATCAACCGTAGTAGAAGTTGAGGCACGATTTGATGGACCGACTGATGAGCGCTCCTGCTCTGCATCAGCGCAAAGTTGCTTTGGGCTGCGTTCCGCGAAGTCGGACTCGCAGGGCATCACGTTCTTCTCTTTCTGCGTGGGCGTCCCGAACACATGCTCTCCTATGTGTGTCACGTTGGCCGTCACTGTATTGCCGTAGTGTTTGCATTTCACAGTGACAGAGCCGTCTGGACCAGTTTCCGTCACGACATGTTTCCATATTGGCGACAAAGGGCGCACCATTGCGCATCTGATCTGATGTACTCAACTAGAGGTCGAGTGAGCTATGGTACTAGAGGTTATGGTGATCCTTTTAGTACATAATAGTGCCTTTGTGACTGCTGTGTCGAGTGAATTTTGAAAGAGGGTCAGTTCAGGTGAGGGAACACGATTAGCTGGATTGGTTTCGCATTGCGAAGATTGGGTTGAGTCGCGATTGTGGGCGAAATTTAGATGCTGGGCGCGAATTCCCGAAACGGGCAAGGCGAAACGGGTAAACTGTTGCGCACTGTTCGCCAAATGTCGAAATGTCACTACTCGGTTTTTTATTACACGTTGCGCTTCGGCGAATAAAATTCGACGACGGCGAAACATGTATTCCAGTCGTTCGCCATCGCCAAATGCATTCAATGTCGCGACTCGAAAGTGGCATAAAATTCACGATTCGGGATACATTCAATCTTGCCGCGATATGCGCGTGCGCAACTTCACATTGATGGGCCACTGGGGGGAATCTGTGAATTTCGCTATACAGTGCCTCGGTTTCGAAAGTTCGGTCGTTTAAAACGACCGTATTTTTCAACTAATCAATAAACGACCGTATTTTTGACCGTATTAAACTGTTTAATACGACCGTAAAATACGATTCCGTTTAACACGGGAAAATAACAAAAAATTGGTCGTATTTTCTATCATTGCAAGCCAGATGTGTGAAAGCCGGCATGGTGACGGGACGCACGATGCGTTTGCCTGCCGCCGTTTCTCGTGGCGACTTTGAGATCCAATAATCTGCCTTGGCTCGCTTCCCCTTTCTTCGTGCTCTCATTGCTCACCCTCACCCACCCCCCGCGTAGACTTGTAGGCTTTCCCAAACCATCATCTGCCCCCCTGCTTGCACTATCAGTTGCCCACCCTCTCTCCGTTTTTCCATACCATACCATCCCACCCTACCTCTCGTCCTTCCTCTCGCCTCCCCATTTCCTCTTCCTCTCCCACCACCCATGCCATGGCCCACGCTCATTTCAGTTCCGAATAACCGTCCCGGGCTGTTTCGCCCACCACTGCCGGCGGTCTTTTGAATTTCCGAACTGATCACTCCATGTGCCCTGTGCTGCGTGCAAAATCCCCTCTTGGTTCCTTTTCCCCCATCTTGGTTCGTTTCCCCCCCATACCTCCACCATGGCCTGGGACCAGAGCACGCCCATGTAGTTCCGCCTCACCACGGCAGGCTCGGCCGATCCGCCGGTGAAGGTGACTCTGTGTGTGAGATCTCCCGTCACACTAGCTTCGCTCGGAAGAACCAAAGCATCATACTGCTTTGGCCAGACCACACTGACCGAGGCTGACATCATAAGCGTTGGGTTTATAGCTGGCATGGGGGCTCACGTGGGTTTGCATGCATTAAAATTGACGTATCTGGACTCCAACAAGCAGCCCGTGGTGGCCGCTGCGAAATTGGCCCTCGCGAAAGCAAAGTCAACTTTGAAACAGGATCAGGTTTTTGGTACGTTTCTGTGCCCTGCTCTGGTAACCATTCGTGTGAAATTTGCGTCTTCTTCGGCTAACGAGCCTAGTTTGCTCAGTTCTTCGTTTCACTCGCGTCATAAGTGAGTGGTTTACTGGCCTTTTTAAATTGGACAACATCATGTGTTGCAGGTAAGCCCGAGCTGCTGGTTGGGGTTCCCGCTGGAAGGTTCCAGGCAAGGATTAACGGCGGTAGGATCAAAGGAGACGCCATGTTTGCAGTCTCTTCCAATGCGTAAGTCTCTACAAAAGCTGAGAGACGATCCTAGAGAATGAGCTTTGCAAGTGAATGAGCCCGCGTTAAGTACCCATGGCTGAGCTCAACGGCGATTAGCTCAAAAACAGGCACTCTCCCTCGACCCATTGCGCTCCTTGTCCCTCCTCCCTTTTTTCCCTCCTCTTCCCCCTCCTTCTTGCTCCTATCTCCTTCCTCCTTCTGCCCTTGTCCCTCCTAACTCCTCCCTTCTCCCTCCTTCTCCCCTCCTTCTCGCCTCCGTCTCCCCCTCCCCTCCTCCCTCCTCCCTCCTCCCTCCTCCCTTCTCCCCCTCCCCTCCTCCCTACTCCCTCCGCCTCCCTCCCTTGCAGGAACAGCGAGTACAGACTGTACGTAAGCATCATTCTGCTCTAAACCGCTGCACCCTCAAGCCAGCAGCAACACTCGCCGTGCTCAACACCACGTGGACACAGCCCAGGCCCGGCGTGCAGCTCTGCGAGTGGCTCAATGACTTCCTTGTCAATGCTAGCCCCACCCCGACACCTGCTACTGACTCTGCTCCTACCTCCGCTCCTAATTCTTCTCCTAACTCAACTCCTGACTCTGCTCCTAACTCAACTCCTGACTCTGCTCCTAACGCAACTCCTAACCCTGCTCCCAGCTCTGCTTCTGATTCTGCTTCTGACTCTGCGTTGGATGCCGCCAAGAGCATGCGTGCGGTGGCCTTTCCGAGCACGCTCACGGTAGGCCTGCAAGTCATGAACGTTGTTGTGAACGCGTTGTATAAGGTGCATGTCAAATGTTGTAGCCTATAGTGAGGCAAGCTATATGGGGTACAGTTGTAAGGGTTAGGTTTATGTACCCCAACCAACATTGTCAATGCAACACGTTCGAATTTGACATGGTATCACCTAGGTATAGGATCCTGTGGGATCCCAATCCTTCTACCTACTGTTGAGCCCGTCCCGCACTGTAGAGTCCGTCCCGTTCCGCACTCTAGCGCCTGTCGTGCCCGTCCTGTCCCCCCCCCCCCCCCCCCCCCCCCCCCCCCCCCCAAATCTGCTGTCAGCATGCTTGCGTTGCGTCCCGTCGCCCACGTTTCCCCCCCCCCCCCTGCAAATCTGTTGTCAGCGTGTTTCTCGTCGCGTCGTGGCCCCCCCTGCCCGTCCCGTCCATTGCGTCGCGCTCGACCCGTCGGTCCCGTCGCGCCGTGTACGCCCAGCCTGTCGCGACGCTTGCGCCGCGCCAGCCCGTCACGCCGCGCTGCGCCTAGCCCGTCCCGCAAGCGCCGCGCCAACGCGTCCCGCAAGCACTGCGCCAGCCCGTCCCGCTGCGCCGCGCCAGCCTGCCCCGCCGCGCTGCGCCTATCCCGTCCTGCCGCGCCGCGCCATCCCGTCCAGCCGAGCCACGCCCGTTGCCTCGTTCTGCCTATCCTGCTGTACCGCGCCCTGCCCTAACGTCCCGTAGCGCCCTGAGCCTCTCGCACTACCTGTCACGCCCTCCTCAGGCGCATTCAATGTTTAGGGTTTCGACAGCGGCAGTCCCACCTCTTCGCTTCCACTATGGCGACCCCTAGGGTCCTCCGCTTTGATGCTGACAGTAGGCTGCTTGAGTTCTCAGTCTGGCTCCTGCTTGCGTGTCGCCTCTTAGAGAGTCAGGTTCAGGGGAACGAGTCTTTGTGGGCGCACGCTTCTGGTGACCTCCGTGCGCCCCCCGATCCTGCTCCCTTAGGCACTGACCCCACCGACGCTGACAGAGACCGTTATGCACGCCAGCGTGCTGACCTGACAGCATGGAATGTGCGTGACGCTGCGGACAGCATCGCCCTCGCCAGTCTCCTCCCTGAGTCTGAGGAGACCCACTTCACTCAGGTTCGCACTGCTAGTGAGTTCCTGACTGCGATCAAGGCCCGCTACGCTACTCCCACCACTGTCTCTCTTGGTCGCCTGTTCCTCCCGTTCCTGTTTCCTGACCTCGCCTTTTTTGAGCGCACTGCTGACTTGATCGCTCACCTGCGCTCGCTCGACTCTAGCTACCGCGCTGCTTGCACTGACGCACAGCTTGCACTGCTCCCTCCCCCCATGGCGATTACTATCTATTTCATCGCCACTAGCCTCCCTGGCCGCCTTGCCTCAGTTCGTGACGCGCTTGTTCTGAAGCACCCTAACGAGCTCACTATCGAGGTCCTTGGGTCTGCCCTCAAGGACGTCGAGAGCAACCTCCGCTCGGTAGCATCTGTTTGACGGATGCACTGATCCTCAGCTGCCTACCTTTACAGCCTCCCTCGCTACTGCCACTACTGACGTGACCGCAGCTGCTGTTACGACGCCTGCGCGGTCTAGGGGTAGGGGTGGCAGGAGGGGCGGAGGAGGTGGCGGCCAGGGAGCGAGCAGCGGCGAAGGCGGCGGGGGTGGTGTTGAGGGCGACGGTGGCGGGAGTCAGGGTGGTGGTGGAGTGCCTCGTGCAGCGGCTAGTGACTCACATGCTGCAGCTGGTGGAGGTGCCGCTCGAGTTAGTCCGGCACCTGCTGGACTGCCAGCTGCGGGTGGTGGAGTGGCGGCTTGGTACCAGGCTCGGCGGCAGCAGTAGCAGCCACTCCTCTCGCAGCAGCCACAGCAGCAGCAGGGGCAGCAGCAGGTACCGAGGCAGGGGTCAGGCCAGCGTCAGCTGTCGCGTGGTGCCGTCCACCCTCCCTGCACCTACTTCATCCAGACAGGTCCTCGCAGCGGCTACCACTGTGACCGCCGCCACCTACCGGGTCAGTGCTTCGCTCAGCTCACTGACAGGCTTCGTGTGGCCTACGGCGTTGACGACCCCACCCTTGACTGGCTTCCCCTTGTTCAGCAGTACGGCCCCGCTCTGTGGGGCATGTCGGCTTCTCAGTTGGTTGATCTCTTAGGAACTCCTCATGCTATGTATGCTGTTGTTGACTCTAGTGCTTCTGACTGTGTTTAATCGCGTGTTTTTAGCTTAGGTGCTAGTGTTGCTGAGGTGCCTGTTGCTAGTGTAGGTACTTGTGTAGACACTAGTCCAGGAGCTGCTCCGGAGGACGCTTCGCTGTCTTTCACTCTTGGCTCTGGGGCTTCGCACTACTTCTTCCGTGACCACACGACGCTTACTCCGCTTCCTCCGCAGGTCTCTGTAGCAATGGCTGATCCCACTTCGGGACCAGTCACTGCTCGCTACACTACTACGCTTCTTTGCCCAGCTGTTCCGTCAAGTTTTCTTACGGGCTTTCACGTCCCCTCGTTCTCCAGGAACTTGGTGGGCGTGAGACCACTAGTTAGTAGTCACGTCGATGTTTGGATTGAGCCTTCTGGGGAGACTGCGGTGTGTGTTGACGGTGACACGTATGTGCCTTTGGCGACCTTTACCGCTGAGCCGGGCTCTGGTCTCTACACTCTGCACACTGGCCCCCGCGGGCAGCAGCAGCAACCGCGGCAGCAGCAGCAGCAGCAGCAGCAGCAGCAGCAGCAGCAGCAGCAACAGCAGCAGCGGCGGCAGCAGCAGCAGCAGCAGCAGCAGCAGCAGCAGCAGCAGCAGCAGCAGCAGCAGCAGCAGCAGCAGCAGCAGCAGCAGCAGCAGCAGCAGCAGCAGCAGCAGCAACAGCAGCAGCAACAGCAGCAGCAGCGGCGGCGGCGGCTACTGCCCTCGACCCCTGTCACTACTTCCCCTCAGATCCCTGCGTCTCACTAGGTTCCCGCATCTCACCACGTCGCTGTGTCTGGTCAGGTTCCCGTGTCTGGTCCTTTTGCCGCGTCTTGCTCCTGCCGGCCGCTTGCCCATCCCACCGTTCTCTGGCACCACCGGCTGGGGCACCCGTCCATTCCTCGCCTGCGCGCTATGTCTAGTCGGTGGCTTGTCCTAGGCCTCCCGCGTGTCTTGCCGTCGCTGCCGCCTTCGCTTGCACCACCTTGCGGTCCTTGTGTCGAGGGTAGGCTGCGCGCCACCCCTCACTCCTCCTCCCTTCGTCCGGCCACCGAGCCCTTTGAGACACTCCACTTGGACGTCTGGGGCCCCGCCTCTCGCCCTGGCCCTGAGCGCGAGCGTTTCTTTCTGGTGGTCGTTGACGACTACTCCCGCTACACCATAGTGTTCCCCCTGGCAAAGAAGTTTGAGGTGACTTCTACGCTGATCGGGTGGTTGCTTACCATTGCGGACACTCGTGGTCGTCGTGTCAGCTGTCTTCACTCCGACCGTGGGGGTGAGTTTCGCTCCAGCGTTCTCACTGGATTCTGTCGCGAGTAGGGGATCCGTCAATCCTGGACGCTTCCAGAGTCCCCACAGCAGAATGGGGTTGCTGAGCGCCGCATAGGCTTGGTCATGGAGATCGCCCGCACCTCCATGACTCACGCCCGTGCCCCCCATTTCCTGTGGCCCTACGCGGTTCGGTACGCCGCTCACCAGCTGAACCTCTGGCCACGTGTCTCTCGGCCAGAGGTTTCACCGACCAGTCTTTGGACCGGGTCCCCTGGTGCTGCGTCGCGTTTTCGTGTCTGGGGTTGCTTGGCACTTGTTCGCGACACCTCCGCGGACAAGATCTCGCCTCGCGCCATTCCCTGTGTCTTCCTTGTTCTTTGACTCCCGTAACGTCTGTTTCGACGAGTCGGTCCCATACTACGTCAGGTACCCTTGTCGAGGTCTCCCGGTTCCTCCTCCCCCTCTCTTCCTGACTTCCGCTCCCCCTCCTACTCCCCTGGTACAGCCTCCCCCCCCGGTCCAGACCCGTCCGGTGTGTCCCACGCTACCCCCCACCCCCCTCCCCCTCGGTAGCCCCACAGGTGCAGCCTCCTTCCCTGCAATCCTCCTCACAGCCTAGTACAGACCCTGCGGGAGCCTGTGTTTGTGCAGCTGGAGGTGCAACAGCCGCAGCCGCAGCAGGAGCAGCAGCAGCCGCCACCTCCTCCTCCTGTCTCTGGTCTTCGGACCCTCGGTCTCCCCTCTCCCTCTCCTTCCTCCTCCCCCTCTCCTCCTGTCTCTGGTCCGTCGCTTCCTCCTCCTTACTCCTCGCCAGCTGTTTTCCCCCGTTCTCAGCCTCCGTTGTCCCCTCCTCTTTCTCACACTTGTCGCTCTCCTCGTGCTCGTCCCTCGTCCCCTGTTCCTTTCACTGACCTTCGTACTACACTGTTTTGTTCCAGTCCGCCTCGTTCGTCTCCGTCCCTCCTTCCTTCTCCTCCTGAGTCAGCCCTCACTGCTTCCCTCTCTACTCCTGTCACAGACTACTACCGCACGTACCATCATGTTCTCTCTCGTGTTCTCGCCTCTCTTGTTACCGACCCTCGTGCTTCTCTGTCCTCTGTCTCCGCACTTACTGTCGCAGTCACTGAGTTTGCCTCTACACACCGCATTGACTACGCCACCAGTCTTGTGGCTGCTCCTCCTACCAGTCCTTTGGCCGTCGGGGGTGACTCTGCCCTTGGCTATGACGCCCTAGAGGACAGGCAGTTTGAGCTAGAGTTCCTGGCGGCCGCTTCCCCTCATCTCTGTGCCCTCGCCCCTGAGGGAGACCCCGACGCCCTTGACATACCGACTCCTCGCACTTACGCTGAGGCAGTGTCAGAGCCTTGGGCCTCTCAGTGGAGAGCTGCCATGGATGCAGAGATGGCCTCCTACAGATCCACAAGCACCTACGTCGACGAGGTTCCCCCCCCTGGGGCGAACGTAGTCGATGGCATGTGGATCTTCAGGGTGAAGCGGCCACCGGGATCTCCTTTAGTCTTCAAGGTGTGCTACGTGGCTAGAGGGTTCAGTCAGCGCGAGGGAGTCGACTTCTTTCAGACCTTCGCGCCTACCCCAAAGATGACTACTCTTCGGGTGTTACTGCACGTAGCAGCACAGAGGTCTGGTTACGTCGTCCCTCGACTGCACGTAGCTCGACTTCTCCACTGCCTTCCTTCAGGGTAGCCTACACGAGGAGGTCTGGTTACGTCGTCCCTCTGCCTTCACTGGCACTTTCCCTCCTGGGACCCAGTGGAGGCTGAGGCGACCGGTCTACGGTCTCTGTTAGGCTCCTCGTGAGTGGCATGACACCCTTCGTTATACCCTGTCTAACCTCGGTTTCCAGCCGTCTTCTGCCGACCCGTCGCTGTTCGTCCGTCGTGGCTCCACACCGTTCATTGTGTTGGTCTACGTTGACGACCTGGTTTTCGCCACTGCTGACAGGGTTGCTTTGGCAGACGTGAAGTCTGAACTCTAGAAGAATCACATGTGAACTGACCTTGGTGAGCTGCGCCACTACCTTGGCCTGCAGATCACCAGGGACAGAGCCGCTCGCACCATTACACTCTCACAGTCACACATGGTGCAGCAGGTCCTTCAGCACTCCACAGTACAGCGCACACCTCTTGCTGTTGACCACAGACTCACTGGACCCTTTCTTGACGAGCCGTTTGAGCCTAGTGGTCCTTACGCAGAGCTGGTGGGCTGCCTCATGTACCTGATGACCTGTACTCGCCCGGACCTCGCCTTCCCTCTCAGCATCCTTGCTCGCTTTGTTGCGCCAGGGAGACACCGTCCTGTTCACTGGACAGCAGCTGTGAGGGTGGCGAAGTACCTAGCAACGACATCAGGCGTGGGGCTGGTTCTTGGAGGGCAGCAGTCTGTCGTACTTACTGGTCACTGTGACTCTTCTTACGCTGACGACGCTGAGACTCTCAGGTCTACTCAGGGGTACTGCTTCAGTCTGGGTTCTGGAGCTGTTTCTTGGAGGTCCACGCGTTCCTCCTCGGTCTCGACCTCTACAGCTGAGGCTGAGATCTACGCTGGTGTCAAGCGTAGATCTGTAGTTGCGCGCTACTCCTCCCCGGCCACTGCAGCCCTTAGTCGCCTCATGCTGCCGTACCTTTTTCTTGACCTAGCCGCCTTTGCTACAGTCGCCGACCTCATTACGCACCTCCGCACTAGTGACACCCGCTACCGCGCTGCGCTTCCTGCTGAGTTCTGCGCCAAGAACCCCCCCCCCCATGTACATCACCCTCTACTACCTAGTCACCCGGCTCCCTGACTCCCTTCGCTCGGTCAGGGATCACTTCCTCTCTCTCTGCCCCACCACACTCACTGTTGACCTCCTCGAGGAGCGCCTCCTAGCAGCTGAGAAGAGCATAGTCGCTGTAGGAGCCTCTCGTGGTGACCCTCGTGCCCCTTTCTTTGAGGGGTGCTCCCCCGTTCCCCTTTTGCCCTCTGTTGCCTCTGCTGCTGCTGTCGACCTCGTTGGCACCGAGTCGGTCGGCGCTGCGTCTGCACCTAGCGGGAGGCGCTGCACCGGCAAGGGCAAGGGGGGCAAGGGTGCTGGAGGAGCTGGCGGGGGTGGTGGTGGTGGCGGTGGAGGCGGCGGAGGGGGTGGGGGTGGAGGTGGGAGTGGTGGCGGAGGTGGGGGCTCTGGAGGCAGCGGTGGAGGCGGAGGCAGCGGCGGCGGCGGCGGTGGGAGTGGAGGAGGTGGCGGTGGCAGCAGTGGTGGCGGCGGTGGAGGTGGCGCTGGTCGGGGTGGCCTTGTGCAGCGCGGAGGCTTCGGTGGTGGCCAGCGTCAGCAGCAGCAGCGCTCTTGTGCGACCCCGCCACCCCAGCAGCTTCGTGAGTGGTACGCTGCGCGTCAGCGGTCTGGGGGTGCTGGTCCCTGTGCCTACGTCCTGCGTACTGGTGACCGCACTGGGGAGCCATGCGGCGGGCTGCACACCACCCAGCGCTGCTTCGGCCGCCTGACAGACGCCTGGCGTCTCCAGTTCCCTGACGCCACTGAGATCCCTCGCTGGGGTGATCTGCTTAGGTCGGGGGTTGCTATCTTTGATCTTGACTATGATGCTATTCTTGCTGCCATGTATGCTGTGTCTACTAGTGATGAGGGTGACTGTTACCTGTGTGTTCCGCCTGACCCGGGCATTGCGGCTGCTGCTCTAGGTGCTAGTGCGTCTGCTGCTCCAGGTGCTAGTGAGTCTGCTGCTCCAGGTGCTGGTGAGTCTGCTCTCTCAGGTACCACGTCTGCTCAGGCGTTGCACACTTTCACCCTTGACTCAGGTGCTTCCCGCTCCTTCTTTCGAGACCGCACCACCCTCATACCGCTCAGTCGGCCGGTTGCGGTCTCCCTGGCAGACCCCTCTGGGGGTCCTGTCCTTGCCCACTACTCCACTGTGCTACCGTGTCCAGCGGCCCCGTCTGGCTCCCTGTCAGGTCTTTACCTCCCCTCGTTCTCTACGAACTTGGTGAGTGGTGCTGACCTACAGGATGGGGGGGTTGACCAGTTCACTCCTGCGAGTCAGCGGGTGACCCACTGCACGTGTGCTCGGACGGGCCGACACTTGGCCACGTTTACCTGTACACACTGACTACCGAGTCTCCTCCGGTTGCTGTGCCTGGTCAGGTAGCTGCGTCGGGTCAGGTGTTTGCTGCAGCGTCTCGGTCTGGTCCTGAGTCTGCCCCCTGCTCGTGTCGCCTCCTGTCCCACCAGACTCTTCTCTGGCACCACCGCCTTGGTCACCCCTCCCTGCCTCGTCTCCGAGGCATGGCCTCCCGTGTCCTTGTCTCTGGTCTCCCCCGGTCTCTCCCTCCCCTTCCTCCGGGGCCTGCCCCTACCTGCGTTCCCTGCGTCGAGGGGCGGCAGCGCGCCGCTCCTCACTCCTCCGAGTTTCCGCCGACAGAGGCTCCGCTGCAGACTCTTCACATGGACGTGTGGGGCCCAGCCCGCGTCCATGGACAGGGTCACGAGCGTTACTTCCTGCTGGTGGTTGACGACTACTCGCGTTACACCACGGTCTTCCCCTTGCGCCGCAAGGGTGAGGTCACTGAGGTGTTGATCGACTGGATCCGCGCTGCTCGTCTCCAGCTCAGGGAGAGTTTCGGCTCGGACTTTCCTGTTCTGCGTCTGCACTCCGACAGAGGTGGTGAGTTTTCCTCCGACCTCCTGCGAGCCTTCTGTCGCGCGAGGGGCATCCGCCAGACGTTCACGCTTCCGGCCTCTCCACAGCAAAATGGGATTGCTGAGCGCCGCATTGGCATGGTCATGGACGTCGCTCGTACGTCCATGATCCATGCGGCTGCTCCCCATTTTCTGTGGCTGTTTGCGGTTCAGTACGCGGCGCATCAGATCAACCTTCAGCCCAGGGTCTCCGTGCCGGAGACCTCCCCCACTCTGCGGTGGACGGAGAAGATTGGCGATGCGTTTGCGTTCCGTGTCTGGGGATCTCGAGCTTTTGTCCGCGACTTGTCTGTGGACAAGCTGTCCTCTCGTGCTGTTCCCTGCGTCTTCCTTGGCTTCCCCCCTGACGCGCCTGGTTGGCAGTTTTACCACCCCACCTCGCGCCGTGTTCTGTCCTCCCAGGACGTCACGTTTGACGAGTCGGTTCCGTACTACCGTCTCTTCCCCTACCGCGCTGCCCCCCTCCCCCCCCCCGCCGCTCTTCCTCGCTCCAGGTCCCCCTCCGGTAGACCCCCTCCCCCCGCAGGGTCCTGCCCCCTCAGGTGTGTCCCAGGTAGACGCAGTCGAGCCTGTCGAGGTAGCTGTTGACTCTGGTGCTGCTAGGGGTGCTGAGCGTGCGGGTGCCGGGCGTGGGGGTGCGGAGCCTGGGGGTGCGGAGTCTGGGGGTGCTGAGCCTGCGCGTGAGGAGACTGGAGGTCCTGCGCCTGAAGGTGCTGTGTTTGGGGGTGCTGAGCCTGTGTGTGCGGAGTCTGGGGGTGCTGAGTCTGGAGGTGAGACGCCTGAGGGTACTGGGACTGCTGGTGCGCGGTCTCCTTGGAGTAGCCGCCTTCGTCCGCGTGTGCCTCTCACCTCACAACAGCTGCACGACTGGTACGGTCGCCGTCAGGGTCGCGCTGCTGGAGCCCGGGGCTCTGCTGCTGGAGGTACTTCTGCTGACGTGCCTGGACCTAGGAGTGGTGCTGGTACTTTGTCTACTGGAGGTGCTGGAGTCGCTGGTCCCGGAGGTGCTCGTACTGGAGGTACTAGAGCTGCTGGGGCTGGGGGTGCTGCATATGGGGGTGCCGCTTCTGGAGGCACTGAGGCTGGAGACCCTGGGACTGGAGGTGCTGGTTTTGGGGGTGCTGCTGCTGGAGACACTGCGGTTGGAGACCCTGGGACTGGAGGTGCCGGTTCTGGGGCTGGAGCTTCTGGAGCTGCTGGAGGTGCTGGAGCTGCTGGAGGTACTGGAGCTGCTGGGGCTGGTGCAGCTGCGCCGACACGACTGTTCTTTGCTCCGCCGTCTCCGTCGTCTCTACCGCCGCCTGACTCTGTTCTTCGTCAGGTTCTTACTCTCCCGTCGTCTACTGGACTTCCGTTACAGCCTGGCTCACCACTGCCTGCTCCTTCTCCTTACACTGAGCAGACAGGTAGTCTTGCTGAGCGTCGTGAGCCTGTGTCGCGTCCTGTCTCGCCTGTTCGTTCTGGTAGTTCCGGTCGTCGTGTTCCTCGTTCGCATCAACCGGCTGTCCCCAGCGCACACCTCGTAGTCCGTCGTCCTTCCTCTGCTCCGCAGCCTGTTCCTCTGCCGTCTCCCCCTGCGTCCTCTCTGCCTGTCGTTCCGGACCCTGAGTCTGACCGGTTTCGTGCTGAGCACCCCACTGTCACGCGTCTGTTAGCCACTATTGTCACTGACCCGTCGTTTGAGTCTACTGCTGCGTCTGCCTTGGTTGCTGAGCTTGTTGACTTTGCTGCTGCCTGTTGTCTAGACTACGCCGCTAGTCTCGTTGCTGAGTCTAAGTCTGTCTGTCCTCCGTCCGTCGGGGGTGAGTGTGCTCTTAGCACGGACGTCCTTGAGGATAGGCAGGAGGAGTTCCAGTGCTTTGCTGCTGCTTTACCTCATCTCGTGTCCATGCTGGTTGCCCCTGAGGGAGACCCGGATGCACCAGACATCCCGACTCGTCGCTCTTACGCAGAGGTGATAGAGGGTCCCTACTCATCTCAGTGGCAGTCAGCCATGGACGCAGAGATGGCTTCCTGGAAGTCCACAGGCACCTACGTCGATGAGGTTCCCCCACCTGGGGCGAACATCGTCAGTGGCATGTGGATTTTCAGGGTGAAGCGGCCGCCGGGTTCTCCGCCTGTCTTCAAGGCGCGTTACGTGGCTCGAGGCTTCAGTCAGCGGCAGGGAGTTGACTACTTTCAGACCTTCTCTCCCACCCCGAAGATGACCACTCTTCAGGTGCTGCTGCACATAGCCGCTCACCGCGACTACGAGCTTCACTCTCTTGACTTCAGCACAGCTTTCTTACAGGGCAGCCTGCACGAGGAGATCTGGCTGCGCCGCCCACCTAGCTTCACTGGGTCGTTTCCTCCTGGTACCCAGTGGAGCCTCCGGCGGCCAGTCTACGGTCTCCGCCATGCGCCACGTGAGTGGCACGACACACTGAGGACTACACTTGCGGCTCTTGGGTTTGCTCCTTCTACTGCCGACCCGTCGCTGTTTCTACGCACCGACACCTCTTTGCCGCCGTTCTACATCCTCGTGTACGCCGACGACTTGGTCTTTGCCACAGCTGACACTGCTGGACTCGCCCACGTGAAGTCCGAGCTGCAGAAGAGACACATGTGCACAGACCTGGGTGAACTGCGCAGCTACCTCGGCTTGCAGATCACCCGGGACAGAGCACGGCACACCATCACCCTGACTCAGTCACACATGGTGCAGCAGGTCCTTCAGCGCTTCGGCTTCACGTACTCCTCGCCTCAGGCCACTCCTCTATCTACTCGCCACTCGCTCTCAGCTCTGCCTTCGGATGAGTCCGTAGAGCCGAGTGGCCCGTACCCAGAGCTTGTTGGCTGCCTCATGTACCTGATGACCTGCAGTCGACCTGACCTTGCATACCCTCTTAGCATCTTGGCACGCTATGTTGCTCCTGGGAGACACCGACCAGAGCACATGGCTGCAGCGAAGAGGGTGTTGCGCTACTTGTGCAGTACGTCGGGCATGGGGCTTGTGCTTGGAGGGCGGAGTTCAGTGGTCCTCACTGGTCACGCAGACGCGTCTTGGGTCGACGACCTGGCTACGCAGCGGTCGTCACAGGGTTACACCTTCAGCCTTGGTTCCGGCTCTGTTTCGTGGCGGTCTACCCGCTCGTCGTCTGTTCTCAGCTCTAGCTGTGAGGCTGAGATCTACGCAGGGGCCATGGCTGCACAGGAGTTACGCTGGCTCACCTACCTGCTGATTGACTTGGGAGAGCGGCCTCATTCTCCTCCAGTTCTGTACGTAGACAACAAGGCCATGCTGGCCTTGTGTCGGGAGCACAGACTGGAGCACAGAACGAAGCACATTGCTCTTCGCTACTTCCTTGCTCGTGAGCTGCAGCAGCGTGGTCAGCTGCGCCTTGCTTACGTGGCCTCTCGGGCCAACACTGCTGATATCTTTACCAAGGCACTTCAGCCTTGTGATCATCAGCGCTTTTGTACGATGCTAGGTCTTGTGCCTACTTGGCCTCACTTGCTCACTTCGTGACCTTGCTTGTACTGTGATTTATATATACCTGCTCTTGCTTGTTTACCTTTATATATAATCCTGCATGTGAACTGGCCTTGTGGCCTTGAACCTGTGCTCGGAATGTGTGGTGACGTTGTGATCCACCCTGAGCTTGCTTTGCTTGACTGGTCTTGTGACCTCTAGTTCTCCCCCACTTTGCCTATGGGGGTGTGTCAGGAATATATGACTTAGTCTTTGTAGGCTCTAGTGGGGTAGACACTCTAGTGGGGTCTTGGTTTCACTTTTGTATCCAACATTTTCCTAGTTCAATCATTCCTCATTCTTCACATGCCTGCCTGTAGCCGCGTCTCTAGTTTACATCCGGTCGAATGTGCTTGTCCAATACAGTATCCTCAAGTACCCGTATTGTACGATACGTTGATCTGCACACATTCTAGTACATACGGTACACAACAGATTGCCATGATTACCACTGCCAAGCCTATACCGTATGATCCACCATCAGCACATGTCACCTCAGTTCAAGAAATTAAAGAAGGCATGCATGATTGTTAGTCCCAGACCAGGGCCTCAGATTCGTTTTTGCCTAGGCTGAACAGCCAGTGTTGTACAGAAAAAAAAAAAAAAAAAAAAAAAACTGAAAAATCAGTGTCCTGGGTAAAAAAAAGGCTGACTAATCAGCCTCACTTGAAAACTAAGGCTAAACAAAGGTGTAGTCCATTTTCAGTGATGTGCTGTGGGTGAGGTGGGGGTGCTTGACGTGGGGGCACGCGGTGCTTTACTGTGCGGCGTTGTTCTGCTGCAGAACTTCTGTACCAAACCGATTCGTCGGGAAAATTCGATTTCCCGCTACATCAGCGATGTAGGTGTCAACTTTGGCGTGATTGACAGGGGATGTACCTAGACTCGCGGCTCCGACACGAATCAGTAATAGCGCGATTTCAGCCTACACCCTCGTTAGTACGCTGATCAATCAGTGTACACTTGTAAAAAATCGCTGAAATATCAGCCCATACACTAAAAAAAAAGCTGAAATATCAGCCCATACATTATCCCCATGTCTGGAAAATCAGCCTTCCGACCCTAAATCAGCCTTTTTTCGCTGAAATCTGAGGCCCTGATAGTCACCCGCAGAATAAAATTTGAGGAAACACCCACAGGTAGTATTACGTGGTAGTCCCCGAATTTGTCTCGCGAATGCCTATGAGGTTGCTAAACACTACCACCTCCTCGGCCCCGTATAATTCATACCCCGTTCGAATGCTGATTTCGGATTAGACCTATAAATTCTTAATACAAGGGTAGTTAAGGGTGGGAGCCCCTAAATCGACCACGGTCATTGAAAATCTACAGAGGACGCCCCAGGTGTTTGTTACCACTTCCCTCGCATATCGGCCAACATGACCAAATGGTCGGATTTCGGGTTTGGTCATCGCAATGTTACACGCCCTAAGTCATATATATCTGATAAGGCATGCAAGCCTTCAGCTTTAACGCACCAACATGCGTAAGGCTCATCCAGATGAAGCAACCGGTACTAGCCCACTAGTAGCGAGGTATTTGTGAGAAGGAGTATCCCGGGGCTTGTCTCCACGAGTAGTATGCAATGCGGCTCTTGTAAAAGCCTGCAATGTTGACATGGAAATGGAGAAGGAAGGAACCAAGGGCAGAAAGGGACGACGAATGAATGATGCTAGTCTTATTGAGTGACGGCCGGAGTCAGAGGCGCGGAACAGCAGACAGAGAAAGAGAGAGCTGGGTTATAAAGACAGCTCTGCAGTGGCAGGCAGGAAGGCACACAGAATCCGTTTGTCAGTGAAAAGTTGACAACCAGAGGTGATGCATGCACCCAGAGGTGATACATGCATGTATATGCTTCAGCTGATGCTGATGCAGTGACTGAATCACGATTCGAGTCGCCTTTGGGAACTACCAAAAGCGGCTCAGATGTGAATGGGACAGCATGGGGATAACTCAGAGTGAAAGGCCAACGACATGCTAGGCGGAGTGAGAGAAAGGGGTGGAGTGCCATTGAAATAGGGGGTACTGAGATCAGTGCTCTATTGATTGCATGTGTCGAGAACGTGAGGGCTGAGTTGTGCTAAAATGTATATTTCCTGAACCAAGGAAAATATTTTTTTGTTCAATTGTTCGTTATTCTCTCTCAGGCAACGATCATCTTCATATATATACAGCACAGAATAACAAGTGAATTTGAGGAGCGCTTCAGCAAGCAACAGCAGCAGCACGGCAACAGCAATGGTGACAACATTGAACTGGGAAAGTTAAGTTCAGCTACGTGGCTTTGAGGTGCCTCAAACTAGCTATGTGGCTTTGAGGCGCCTCAAACTAGCTATGTGGCTTTGAGGCGCCTCAAACTAGCTATGTGGCTTTGAGGCGCCTCAAACTAGCTATGTGGCTTTGAGGCGCCTCAAACTAGCTATGTGGCTTTGAGGCGCCTCAAACTAGCTATGTGGCTTTGAGGCGCCTCAAACTAGCTATGTGGCTTTGAGGCGCCTCAAACTAGCTATGTGGTGCCACATAGCGTGGTGCTGTCACGCATGATGGGTGAGGTGGATACGAATCGAAGAGGTGAGGGGTCGCTAGGCCAAGCGGGAGAGGGATGCCATGCTCGAGTAGTAGTGCATCCAGAGTGGTGGTGGGAGCTTGTAAACGTTTTACGAGAGAACGTGCAGGCGAGAGGTGGGGATGGGGGAGAGGTGAGGATGGGGGAGAGGTGAGGCCGCGAGGGAGAGGAGGGAGGGAATTGGGAAACGGAGTGGCTCACGGTGAAATCACGCTAATGACAGTGCGAGCAGGGCAAGATATGGTGCTCCCTTCCAAAAGAAACAGACCCGAAGCAGATGTAGCCCCGAACTGGAGTGCGGCAAACCATACGCATCTCTCAGCGGGATTGCGG